CATGCCCCTGCAGGCTGGTCCCTCCTGGAGCGCGCCCCACCCCCCCAGCAGGGTAGCAGGCGGTGCGCAGTCCACCTTCCCCAACCACATGAGAGCCATGAGGAAGGGCGGGCACACATAGGCAGGGCTTTTCCAAACAGCCTGGCACCACCTGCCCTGCGCTCAAATGCACCAAGTACCAGGGGACCCTGAAGCATGAGAACAGGTGTCCCTGGGCTGGGCGGTCTGTGGGTCCAATGAGCCTGGAGCAGCAGAGCAGGGACGCAGCCAACCCCAACGCCCGGCTGGGCCACCCTGGGTCTTCCTGCTGGCGCTGTAGCTGCAATCCCGGCTGTAAGGGCCCTCGGGGAGCCCTCCAGCCCGAGTTCTCACCTGCCTCCTCCGGGGGGAGGAGGAGCGGACAGGGTGTCACTCTGCCCTCGGTGAGGGAGACCCAGGCAGAGAGCACGGAGTTCCAGGCCTGGGGCCCCCCTCTCTGTCCGCCCTGCCAGGGAGGAAGCTGGGTCTGCAACAGCACAGCGCCAGCAAGGGGAGCGCAGGGCCCTAACGGTGCTCCTGTGCAGGGAGCAGCCACACCTCCTCCCCAAGCCCAGAGCTGAGAGCAGGGCCCTGGCATGGCCTCGCCTGGCAGAGAACTGCCCCAACATCAAGCCCTGGGGCCCGAGGGTGTGAACTAAGCCAGGGCAGCTCAGCCTCCCATCGCTTTCTCCATCAGACCCCCCCGCCTTGCAGGTGGGTAAACTGAGGCAGGCCCCAAGCCACGGGCATCCCTCCTGTCCCTCAAGGCTGAGGACTGGCACCCCGGGCCCCAGGTCCATACCTTTCCAGCTCGGCCTCCAGCCCCTTCTGCTGGGCTGGGCTCGGGCACGCTGGGCGGGGGGCCACTCATGCTGCGGCTGCTGTGGGGCTGAGAGGACAGCGAGCAGACAGACGTGAAGACAGGCCTGCTGTGGCCAGAGGCGGGGTCCCCCTCCCCGGGAAGCCTCGCACCCCAGCCAGGCCCGGCAGCTGGACCTCTGTCCCTGCCCCAGCCACCAGCGGAGGGTGCTGGGCAGCACCACGAGTGCCCAGGGCTCAGAGGGGGGCAGGAGGGCTGAGGCTGATGCAGCCTTAAGACCCGACAAGGCTTCCTGGAAGAGGGTCAGCTGACCTGAGGCGGGGGCTGAGGAGAGGGAGCCAGGCCAGCGGGGAGGAGAGTTCTGAGTCAGGAAACAGCGGGGAGGGGAGGGGGAAGGAGAGCGGAAGTGGGGAGGGGGGACCCAAATTGGCTTCTGAGACTGGAGTCTGGGAGCAGCAGGCCCAGGTTCAAGTCAGCCAGAGGCAAAGGCGCACCAGGCTCCGACTCTCCCCCTGCACTAAGCCAGAGGGAGAAATGGGGTGGGCCCTGGCCAGCGGCTCAGTGGTCAGCGCATCGGCCCACACACCCAAGTGTCATGGGTTCCATTCCTGGTCAAGGGCACGTACCTGGGTCGGGAGTCTGCAGTCAATGTGTCTCTCTCACATTGAAGTTTCTCTCTCTCTCTCTCTCTCTCTCTCTCTCTCTCTCTCTCTCTTTCTCCTCTCCCCCCTTCCACTCTCTAAAAAATCAATGGGGAAAAAATATCCCCGGTGAGAATTTAAAAAACAAGGAAAAAAAGAGCTGGGGTGGGTCTGGCAGGCAGACGGCTCCCTTTGACACTGCTTGGGAGGCAGCCAGGGACACAGGCAAGGGCAGGATCCGGGGACTGGGCAGAGGGTGAGCGGTGATCAGCAGGGTGCCCTGCCCGGGAGGCCCAGCTGGTTGTGGGGCGGGGTCCTGTGGGCACCCAGCGAAAGAGGGGGGTGGGAAACCAGGTTTCTTTCAGCGAACACCCAGCTCAGGTCCGCTCGCCCGGGCCCCAGTGAGCTGCTGGGAGGCGGCCTCGCTTGGTGGGAGCCAGCCACACCCACCTGCCTCCTCTCATCCCAGAGCAGGTGAGAGCCCCCTCCCCCCGCCCTGCTCCCAGGTCTGACCTTCCAAAGGAGTCCCCCCGCCCAGGGGTCTCATCCCAGGAACCCAGCGGCCCCCCCACCCGCAGGCCCGGGAGGGACAGACGTAAGAGGCAGGGAAGCGCCCCAGACGAGCAGAAATGGGCCCGCGGGGAAAGAAACCCAGAAAGAGACGGAAACAGACCCAGAAAGGCATCCCGGTAGAGAGAGGATGGAGACCCGGGTGAGAGCTGTCACCTTGGGCCAAGCCCGGGGCGGGCAGCGGAGGCCAGTGCCCAAGGGCTCCCCCCGCGCCCCGCGCCAGGGTCCAGTGCCGGCGGGCACGGAGCATGGAAGGCTCCCAGCACCCCCACTTCTGCCGGCTGCCAGGTGTGTAAGGCCAGTTGCGGGGTGCACAGCCCCCGGGGCACTGCTCTTGCCCGAAGCCTGGCGTCCGGCAGCCATGAGCTCACGGTGGTCCCCGCGCCCTCCTCTCTCCCGGGATCTCCGACTCAAACCCCCGTCCACCCGCTTCCCCTTCTCCCACTC